GAACCCCGATATGCTCGGGTGAGATTGGAAAGAGGGTCATGGGGAGTACCGAGGTAGTATTCAAGACGACAGAGAGGATCCAGCAGGTCCGGAGTAGGCTTTAGACTGCTCAGAGTCGGCAGAAGAGCTATGCCGACAAGCGCCGATCGGACCTGGAGTAGGTCTGCTAGAGTGAAACCCTAATTTTCAGGGTTTGCACCCTATTTAAAGGCCTTAACACCCCCATTGTGGCCTCCCTCATCGCCTCCCTTAGTCCAGAAAACCCTAATTCAAAACCCTAACCCATTTTGAGTGTTCTTGAGCCATTGTTGTGTGTTTTTGGTGGTTTTGAAGCTTGAGAAGGAAGAGGAAGCTTGGGATTTCAAGAGGAAGCAAGTAGATCCAAATTTTGTGCTCCATTTCCAACTCATTTGAGGTATAAAGTTTATACCTTGTCCATTCATCTATTAGATCTCTTCTTGGTGTAGCTTAGGGCTTTAAGAGCCATTTTTGGAACCGTTCATGGATGCAAGCATGTTTTGGGGTATTGAATTCAAATCCAACGTCTTAGAGGGACTCCATCGCATAAAGGTGCCAACTTTATGGCCATGGGAGTCCCATGTATCCTATGAACCACTTTTTAGGGCTTTTTGAGCTAAATGGCCCATGCTTGAACGTAAAGTTTGTAACTTTACGTGTTATATCAACCCTAGGAGGCCAGATGTATGTTTTGGATGCATTAAGCCCGACTAAAATCGACTGGATAGATTTGGATCATGGGGGACTCGACGAGTCGTTCTTAGGACTCGATGAGTTGGGTCGTGGCTCCCCAACCTTCTCTGTTACTTAGCAAACTTGTTGAGTCTAGAAGATGACTCAGCCAGTTAGACGTGTTTTGGACTTAAAGGTCAAGAACTCGCCGAGTCCAAAGATGAACTCGGCGAGTCAATGAGCAAATGGCCCGACTTGTATGAAGGAGAACTCGACGAGTCCAAGGAAGGAATCGACGAGTTCAAATGGAAAGTCCCGATTCTGTCATAAGGAGAAACTCGGCGAGTTAGAGGGTAACTCAACGAGTCAGATTGTGAATTCGAAATCCTCTGAATTATGAAACTCGACGAGTTGATGGACCAACTCGGCGAGTTGAGTCAACCAGGATGTTGACTTTGACCAGGGCGTTGACCTTGACTTTGACTTTGACCATTATCCAAGATTGGCCCTTAAAGGGGATATGAATATGAAAGAGTAACTGAAGGAGATTGTTATGTGTATGAGTTTGAGGAGAGTTGATCCCAGCACCGAGGACAGTTCAGTTACTGCACGACATTGAGGTGAGTTATCTTCCAGTAGAAGTGGGTCTAAGGCCACAACGCCGACCCACTAGTAAGAGTTGTTTGTTAGATGATTGTCTTTGTGATAATTGTCTGGTATGCCACTATCGGTTACGCTTAATGTGCTAGGATGCTATGATATATGTGCTTGTAGTAATAGGGGTGAAATAGTCCCCGGTTACCTGTTGAAAGATACCGAAGGGGTAGACAGTACCCATGCATGCCTAGAAGTATGTTCATGTTATGTTATTATGTGGTAGTGGTAGGGGGTGAAATGGTCCCCGGTTACTGGTTAAAAGATACCGAAGGGGAGGTCAGCTTCCGGTTACCGGTTGAAAGATACCGAAGGGGAGGTTAGCTCCCGGTTATCGGTTAAAAGATACCGAAGGGAAGTCCAGCTTCCGGTTATGTCAGTCAGATACCGGTTGAAAGATACCGAGGGGTAGGCATTATATGTTTATGGTATGTGGTATGATAAGCGAACTCACTAGGCTTTGTGTTTACGGTTTACAATTTTCGTTTCAGGTCCTTCTTCGTCGAAGGGAAAGGAGCCGGCACGGTAGCAGCTCATCTCACCACTATTTTCCGCACTTGATGTTCTTGGGATTGTACTCTGACATTGTTACTACACTATGACATGTTTTTGAGACATATGATCTTTGGCATGGATGAAATGAATTAACTTGATAATGTTTTCTTAAAAATGTTTTATGAGTTGTTATATCACAAATGAAATTTTTGGTCATGATTTTTGGGATGTTACATCAACTCTTTTTTTGGCGATCTTTATATCCACGGAAAGGTGTTGATGAGCCTCACACTTCTATCTAGTTAATTTTGGCTTAACACATGTTGAACTAAAAAAACATAATCTATGAAAGAACCTAACATATAACTTTTCTCATTTTACCCTTTGGCCCCAAAACACAAACCAATGGCTTAGATCATATAATCAGTATTATCAAAATCCAATAGGATCTAAACCCTATTCCCTTGAAGCCCAAGGCCTTTACTTGATCCCTTTATTGCCCACAATCCCGAAATAAGAAACTTATCGAAACAGGATGTTACAAGATCCATGGTGTTATGTCATGGTTAAGTTTTTTTATTTCTTCTGTTGCATGTTATGTAAAATCATCACATCCTAACAATATTTTAACTATAAAGTTATATGTGAGCAACGAGCCGAAATTCATCTAGTATAAACTTATTTTCACCATATTACTTTGAAACTCCTATGTCTTTTTAAATATTTTTTTAATAATGATTTTAAATTGGTTAATTATCGCTCAATCTAATATTAGAACACTTCAACTTTCAACTAATTAAACACTACTACTCAAAAGTTTTTTTTAACTTATGATACTTATGGTCATTAATTGGTTGATATAGATTTATATATAATTCATGAAGGTTGAAGAAGAAGTTGGTTTTTTTAGAATAATATGGATAAATATGATTTGAGAACACATAAAGTTCTACATTGGTGGTGCGTGTATTTAGATCAAATCTATATATCTATATATATTTACAATAAACGAATCCAACTTACTATCACCATATCACTTTCACACTCACATATCTTTTCAATTTCTTTTCTAATAATTATTTTAAATTGATTAATTATCTTTTAATTTAATACTAGAACACCTTAACTTTTAATTAGTTAACCATTACTATCTAAAAAAATTTAACTTATGATACTTATGGTCATTAATTGTTTTATATGGAGTTATATATATAATTCATGGAGGTAGAAGAAATTATTATGCTTTTTAGAATAATATGGATGAAAGACGATATGAGAACACATAGAGCTCTACATTAGTGATGTGTGTTTTTCGACCGAACGAGGAAACGATAAAATGGCATATGTCACATTGAAATATGTAACTTAGTATAAGTTAGTTCATTAGTTAATAGAATTCATAAAGATCTTATTTACAACAGGTTGATTTTTTCTTTCTATTTTGAAAATTTATGGGTTACCATCAATTGTGACCAAGCTCTGGATATAAGAATAAAAAATCAGTATATAAACATTGTAAAAGGACATATGGAAAATTAAATCTATATGGAACAATGTAATTTGTATTGGAATGTGATCATACATTGCATACATTTCATCTTGCATCAATTATGATTAAACCAAAATTTGTCAAATGCTTTCAATCGTATATTTAGTCTAAAACTCATTTAAATCATGAAAATTATTAATGTTTTACAAACTAATGTGATATTAGACCTCTGGTGATGCTCTTTGGTGACTCGGTTGCGCTTCTATTCCTGTAGGGATCTGTAATCACAACAAGAGAAACAGGTCATCGACCGATCTCCAGGAGGAGGTCCCAGGAGATCTCTCTGACAATCAAGTCAGTCTCTGAGAGATATGAAGTGCGTTTAGCATAAGGATTAGAGAGTGAGGTTTCATCCTCTTTAACGTTGGAGGCACACGGCCTTTTATAGTGGGCTTATGGGCATGAATCCCGCTCATGGTGAAAGGAGTGTCAGACACCAATCGGGACAGGCGCGATGATTGGTAGATTGTACCTTTGTCCCTTGCCCGAGCCGTGATTGGTTTAGCCATGATAGTGACGTATGCACCTGCACTGTAGTTAACAGGTGTCCGTTTGTTGTCTGTCGACTTTCCCACATGATTTTTTGGTTGGACCCTGGTATCGAGGGATAATCCATTCCAGGCTAGAATGGGCGCTGGACGGTAAGGATGGTCGGCTAGTCGAGCCATGTGGCAAGCACCCTTGGCCTTTCTCGCATGTCTAGGAGGCACGATATCAGGTCTCCCTAGTTTTATTTGTTGTAATGTATGCATGTTTAGTTGTAACGGATGTGACTAGCCTTTAATGACATGTCCCGTTGCGTTTGGTTGCTGTCTTTACGCCTACACGTTGCAGCGGTTTCTAGATGTGACGTCAGCTGTCATCATTAAGATTTTCAAATTTCCCGCCTATCGGTGATTTTTATGGTTTCCACCTCTTCAGTTTTCCTCCCTCTTGATCTTTTTTTTATTCCCCTCTGTGTTTATTCTTTTTTCTGCTATGGATTCTCCAATCAGTGTCGTTCCAACCCCGAATTAATTTGCTTCTCTCTAAAAGAAATATGTTTTTCAGCCCGAAGAAGGTGTGACATTTCCCTATAAGAGTGCTAGTTTGATTAATTCTTCGGAGGGTAAATTGGCATATATGTGAAACACTTCGATGCCGGTTATTGCCTCCCGACGTCAGATTTTTTTAAGAAGTTATTCATACTCATAAGGTTCACATCAATCAGTTGGTTCCCAATCGTATAAACAAAGTGGTTGCTTTTGAGTTGTTGTTCCGTGCTAATGGAATCAACCCTGACATTTGGTTTTTTCTTTATTTCTTCGTTTTCGCTATTGCTTCCTCTGGTTAAAGTTATACTTTCAATATTCGCAAGAATAGTCAGGTTCTGGTTACCGATCAGAAGAACTCGCTGAAGAATTGGGCAAACCGTTATTATTGGGTTAACGTTAATCGTGTAGGGTTCATGGAGCGCCACTCGACTTCCATTTCCGATCATTCCTTTACTTAGTACTCGGACAAGGAGCAGATGGCTAGGGTTCTTTGTTGTTTTCACGTTGTGGCTGATGGTTTCCCCGAATATGTGCTTGTTGGGGCTAGTATGAGTACATCGTAGCGGATTTGTGGAAATATGCGGGAGTTTTACCTTATATTAAGAGGTCTGCTTCTAATTTTTTCTTCATCTGTCATTTTCTTCTCCTTCCCTCCACCTTTTTTGTTCAAGAGTATATATGTTCATATTCTATAGGTTTTGAGAAAAAGGTTGACATTATAGACGTGTTGGCAAAAACGTGGGTGGGTAGTCTCCGGTATCGTGAAGTGGAGCTTATTTGCAGGGTATTTCCATCATTTCCTTTCTGTAATGAGGCTTTTATTGCCTGTGGGTCTATAATTCAGGATGTTGAGTGACGTCATGCTACTGTGGAGCCTTCCTGGTCAGCTTCTATTGATCTCTTGAGTGTAGATGTTGGTGTTGAATCTTCTGGGAACAAATTTAGGGAAGAAGAGTTTGTGGAAGATAGTAGGGAGGGGGTTCTCTCTATATTGAATAAGCATAAAGCTTCTTGGCAAAGTTCTGGCGGCCATGATGTTGAAAATCTTGCTTTGGTTCGGCGTTTGCGTATGCAGAAGGTTTTTAGGTGGAGTTTACATCTGGAGATTTTTGAAATGGAGGTGATTAATAGTCTTGATGATGGGAACGGAGACAAGTATGTTGTCCATGAATTATATGCCAGTGCGAATCTTGTTGATTCTAAACCAGGTGTTGTCTTGGAAACTTCAGAGCGTTTGAATGTTGTGATGGTGGGAGTAGTGTGAAGGATGGTTCTCATTTCTTACGTTTTGTTTGTATAGAGTCTCCAGCCGTTGGTGATGGAAAAGTGGTGAGTTGCAGCGGTGTGATTTTATGTCCTTGATGGTCCTTGAAAAATAATTCATGCTTGTCCTTGTTGGAAACTGAAGGTTTTTATCAACCAGATACACTCAAGTATAAATAACAAAGAACAAACAAACAAAGAAAAAGATTAAAAAGAAAAACTGAAGAACACGTATAGTCACAAAGATACTTTCACTAAGAAAGAAGGGTTCTCACAAAGAGAACGAGATCACAAACACGGTCACCAAAATGTGACCCAAACGTGTATGACTGCATATGGTGATGGTGGAACAGTGGTTTAAAGTCAAATAATTTAATTACAATTATCATGCACTAAGAGAAATAACCCCTTAGTTTAGCTATAAATTTTGCATAAGTTTTTTAGGACTTTTGCATTGATTAGAAGAAAACATCCATGATAATGAAGGTTTTGCCGATTAGCTATTGATGTCTTATCCATGTATATTCACACATATAAAAACCTAAAACACATTTTCAATAACATAAATATACATATATACACAGTGAACCTCTTATTAAAAGTATATGTGCTTTCACCATCTATTGAACCACAATCATCATCAAATTTGAGCTAAATAACCCATATTATCACTTGGTAAAGTTGATTGCTACGACACGAAATTCACAAACAGGTGACAAATCATAATAATAGGAGGCCACACTTGCATAAGTTAAATTTCAAAATGAAGAAGCTACATTATTGTCAAAGAAAGAATAGATCAATCCTAATAAAAAATAAAATAAAATAAGGTTGTGGATCTAGTCTTACTAAAAGCTCGCCGGAAATGAAAGTTGTGCGTGTTGGATCTATATGCTCAAGAATCATTATTGAGTGATGTTGCTAATAATATATGATCTTATAGAGTAACACCTTCATCAAGTTGGTACTTATTGAATATTTATTAAGTATTTGATTATTAATAGATAAATTCAACTCTTGTATTTATTTAAAGAAAAAATATTGTTTTACGAAAATAATACTAAAAAAGAAGAAAAACTAGTTATTACATCTTAAGGTATGATTAATAAGTCATGTACAAATGTTTTGGACACTCTGGAAAACCATGACTTAACTAATTGGTTGGCTTACTTAGGTCGACAAACTAGCCAAACTTTTGTCCTCTTCTTTTGACCATTTGGCCGTAACTTTTAAGAAGACATGGAGGTTGCTTATTAACCTCCATACTTTTTCCCCCATGCTTCTTTACTAGGCTATTACTTTAGATTAAAATAAGGTGTAGCCTTTTTGCATGCATGGGATATATAAGAAGGTCTTATACTTGAAAGTTTCTATCCTTTTGGTCTTGATTTTCTCTCTTGAATCCGTAGCTTCCTCTCCATATCTTACTCTCTACCTTTTGAACTTAGTTTCTTGATTTGGAGCTTCCATTTATGTCTTCCTGTAGTACTTATTTTGTTACCTTTGGAGCCTTGGAACCCACTTTGTTTTGGGGTGTTGATGAACATGGAAAGATCAAAGATGATGATCTTTTCTACAAGTATCCACCACCAAGATTAAGGTACCAAGAATTGTTAGTTTCCTTCTTGTATGCTTTGTTATTTAAGCCTTTAAGTGCTTAACAAAATAAGCACTAAAGGAAGACACAAAGGGAAGCTCCAAATCAAGTAACTAACTTCAAAAGGTAGAGAGTGAGATATGGAGAGGAAACTATGACTTCAAGAGAGAAATTCAAAACCAAAAGACTAGCAACTTTCAAGTATAATACCTTATTATATATCACATGCATGAAAAAACGTTAAACAAGTGAGTTTTGAGGCCTTGAATGCTTTCATTGGTTGCAAAATGACTAAGGGTTCTATTGGAGCATGAAATGCTCTACAATGATTAGTGATTTATTAAGTTAGAACATTCCTTTGTATGAGAGCATATTCACTCCACTAGTATATAAAATGGAGGTGAGTGGTCATTTATTTTAGGAGTGCACCATGTAGACTTTTTTTTAGTGACAGGGAGTTGGTTGGGGAATTCTCCCCAGCCATGAGAGTTGTTCTTGTAACATGTTGAATCTCTCTATCTATACATCACAGTTTACTCACATGTTTTGTTCATCATGTTCATACATGTGTTATCTTCTTGATATTATCTTTCCGCACCAATACAATCTATAAAATGGGAACTCACAATTGGTATCAGAGCGAAAACTTGAGGATCCAACTGGTTATTTCAAGGGAACGATCTTGATTGTTTTACTCTCTTGACAATTTTCATAATTATTGAAGATTTTCTCAGCCTACGCAACTGAAAAATCTTATGTGAGTTATTGTTACACTCGAATCCTGGTAAGTTTCCCTTCTAACCCTTTAAATTTTTATTTTGGCAACTTTGGCCCTTACGTGGGGCGTACGTGGATGGTACGCGGGGCATAAGGGGGAGTAAGGTGGAACGACAACGTTTGGGGAGTACACAGGGCGTACTCTAAGTACGCAGGGCGTACTTCGTCTGGACATAGACCCTAATCCGTTGGGTTTGGTCCCTATATATTGAACCTTAAGTCCTATTTCCCCATCCCACTTCCAGCCTCCATCACTTGAAATGTTTCCCTTGAAAACCCTAGCCCCATGTTGCACTTTGAAACTTGAGAGAGTGTTTTTGTGAGTTTTAAAGGAAGAAGAAGGTGGTGGTGAAGCTTGGAAGCTAGAAACAAGCTTGGATTTGGAAGACTTGCATCATCCTCAATCCCTAGAAGGTATAAAGTTCATACCTTGGTGATTAACCTATTAGATCTTATATATATGATGATATTATGAACTTTTGTCCCCAAAATATGACCTTCCTGTGCATGGCATGCTATAGAGAAAATGGGTTGTCCTTTTGGACGTTTTTCTAGGCATATAGTAATAAAATGTGTCCTTGACTCTTAGTTCTTCCTCATGCATGAATCTGATGGTCGTAAGGGCTTAAGATGTTAGGATTTGTAGTGTTAAACACTTATTGGCCATGAAAGACAATAAATTTGGAAACTTTATGGTCAAGGATAACAATTGGGACTTGGATCTGTAATTTGGACGAGAAAGCTCAAGTATTAAGCACTTAATGGGTTGGGAAGCTTTCAGCTGCGTACGATGGGCATACCAGATGGTACGCCGCATATACGCGGTTAGGTCCCCGTTTTTGGTTGCGATCGAGTATGCCCCGCATACAGATGTGTACGCCCAGCGTACTCGGCTGGGTTGACTCGGCTGAGTTGACTTAGCTAGTTTGTGGAGTTTGACATATTTTGACCCAAAGGATATTTTGAGTAATTTGGTATTAATTTAAGTTGGGCAATATTTGGGGATAATAGGTGTCGAGTAGTGCCGGTTGTCGGGGAGAGATTTATTCACCTTGTGTTCAGACTGAGAGGAGAGTTTTCCTCACTGTACTTACGGGTCGAAGGCACCAAGGCCGAACCAATGGATTGATATCATGTTAGATATTGATTATGATATGTTGATTATGTGATTGATCTGTATGATTACCTGATAAATATTGATATGTGTTAGAGTGGAAGATCGGTAGGACTACCTGTGATTACATGAGGTGTAATTATTTGTATGCTGAATATGTATATTTTTTTTATGTCGACATGTTATGTTGGGGTTGAGACTACTGCTTTGTGCTGTCAGTCGATAGACTGGGGCATTCCAACCAGGAGGTTATAGGCCAGGGCATTCCACCCGGGAGGTTGAGGGCCAAGGATAATCCAACCGGGAGGTTATGAACCTAGTACGTGGTATGCAGGGCAATCTAACCTGGAGGTTGTGGGCCAGGGTAGTCCAATCAGGAGGTTGTGGACCCAACATGCTAATCTATGTATTTTACATGTTGTGTGATGTTACTTTGGGGGAACTCACTAAGATTTGGCTGATAGTTTCAGTTTATTGTTTTCGGGTACTTATGATGATCGCGGGAAAGCGAAGGCGTGATCATGCACATCTTCTTGTTTTGTGTCATTGGGTCTTGGGAAAACTCTGATTTTGATTATTACTTTTGAGTCAATGGTTCTTTTGTAAAACAATGATGGTTTATGGTTGTTTTTAAAAGTTTTAAATTTTTATGATTTTTGGAGTGTTACAGTTATTTACTGTTTTTTTGTTGGTGATATTGTTTGAAAATAAAGATTATGTTGTTCTGTTCATATATATTTTTCTACTGTTAAATTTGAGTTTACGAAGAGTATTATTTTTTGCTGAAGAAGATGAAGTTTCTTGGAAAAAAGTTTATTGGAGTGTTACAGTTATTTACTGTTTTTTTGTTGGTGATATTGTTTGAAAATAAAGATTATGTTGTTCTGTTCATATACATTTTGCTGCTGTTAAATCTGAGTTTACGAAGAGTATTATTTTTTGTTGAAGAAGATGAAGTTTCTTGGAAAAAGTTAGTGTTTGATCTTTTTATCCCATGCAAAAAGGTCTTTTGAGAAAAAAATGGTTGTGGGATAAAAGATTGAACATAGGGTATGGATTTCAGATGATATGGATTTTAATGTGTTTGGGTATGCATTTTCCGAGAGTACAAGTTAATTTTTTTGGGTTTACAAGCTTATAGTGCTGATTTTTTTTGGGTATCCTACACGCATAGAAATACATGTACACATGATTTTGTACTTATTTATTTGTCTCTATATGTGAGTACAAAATTGTAACATCCATAAAATTCAAGCCAATTTAAAACTTTTGAAGTCATTTAAAAACCAATAACTATTATAAACATGTTTTCAAAATGGTTTAATGTACGAGTTTCCCATAATCAAATCGTAAAAACGTAAGCATGTGCACGATCACGCCTTCACCTTCCCGCGATCATCAGAAGTACCTGAAACAATAATCGATAAATGTAAGCTCGAAGGCTTAGTGAGTTACCCCCAAAATACCAACGCCGTACGATCATAATCATATCATATAAACAAACACAACATGT